CTTTCTCAGCTGGAGGTGAAACTCCTATTCCTGCCTTTTAGGTAATCCTCCTATTTTAGGTAATCCTCCACATTTTTCCTTTGTGTGAGTACATCTGTTCATTTTATCTGAACTATCTGCTTAGATTGCGGAGTAGCTCTTTTTAAAATTGCCAAATACACCTTAACTTTCCAAAATATTGTTCCTGCATATATTTCTTTCACGTAGAGAAGAATATGTGTTCCAAGCAGAAATTCGATGTTACTAAAGTTATTTTATGTCTTTTCTGCAAAACCATTTAAAAAAAAAAAAAGATCCAAGCTTCTCTCTGTGTCATAAAATTTCTGAAAATTCAATTTATTTTAAGATAGTAGATTGTAACTGATGGAGATCAGAAGCTGACATGCATATATTTAATGGTCCTTGTTGAGAATGGGAAAAGGGTAGCAACTGCTGGGAGAAAAGCCAGGCAGAAAATTGGAACAGTGATCATTTTAGCCACCTCCATTTCAGCCACCGATAAATGTGAATCAAAGCTCTGTGAAGCCACAACCAAGAGCTGGAATATTTACAATTCCTCCAGCAGAGGTTACTGAAGTAAATGTGTTCAAAATAACAAGAATAAGCAACATCAGTTTTTCATATTGCTGATATGTCACTTACGGTCTATGTTTTTCCTCTGTCTACATGCTATGAAGTCTCTAGACAACTGTTAAATCTCATAGCCTCACAACAGTTGCTACCTTATTACACTGTGCAGACAAATCAATGGAAAGTTTTGATCATTTATTTACAAACATACACAGGATAAAGGCTTTAAAAACATATATATTTTACTTTAATTTTGATAATTTCTAAAGGTATATCTGCAATATCCACATCCACTCCAATTTATTTAATCCTTGTATCCTTATTTTATGTTACACAGTATTAACAAAGAGGACCTTGAAAGTCAAAATTTGATTAGCTCTTCTCTAAATTATCTTTCCATTGAAGCATTACAGAACTCAGGTGCACTTTTCCTGCAATGTTTTTTTCTGGTATTTCATTCTTATGTGGTGGAGGTTGCAATTTTTCCCTTCATTGCACTTATTCATAGTTTCACATTCTCTGGAACACAATTTTACAGCAAACTAAAATCTTTCATCTTATATATGGTTTTGGTATTTACAAAACAGTCATTGTAGATAAAACCATGAGATGGGAATAAAATTGCACTTTCCTAAGACTACCTATTCATACAATCTGAATTTTTGGTTGCTATTGTGTACTTAAATACTGTATTCACATTATGTGTTCTATCATACGAAAGGGTTGAGCTGTAGTGTAGCCTTTGTGATTCTTGGATAACTACAAAAGGCAATGATAATATGCTTTTTTTCATAATCAGTTACAGATTAATGAAATATTCCTCAGAGCTCTGTTCTGTTCAGCATATTACCCTGTCTTCCACCAGATATCAGTATTGATTGAATCCTTCCTGGTTCTTTATGAATGACCTATGGCCTACCTCTCCCCTTGTTAAAACTCAGGTTATCACAAAGTGCTCTAGTTTTTGTCATGAAAGTATTTCCTTATTTCAGTAATTGCTGTAAAATGCACAAGGAATAATTAGGTGGGTTGTATTTAGAGTGGGAAAAGGATTCAGAATTGGCTTAAGGTAAACCTTTGTACATACATAGTCTGTGAGATGTGTAAGAAAAATCCAAACAGTATTATAGTTTTAAATTGTACTACTATTAGAGAAAATACATAACAAGATAACACTCTCTGGGGAGGAAGAGCATAACTACTAAACTGCTATGCTAGTCCTTGCACATCTTAAATTACCAGAGAAACAAAGATAATTTCCATAAATATCACCAGAAGTTTAAGAGATTGCTTTCTTCTACAAAGCTGCAGTTTTGTATCAAATGACTATTTACTTGAAACTAAAATGCAACTTGAAAAGTAAATAGCTTGATTTACTTAATAATTGGTACAAAAATTCATATAAAAACAAGCAAACAAAAAGAAAACACCCCACACAAGGCAGTAGAGTAAGTTTGCCTCCCTTGTACTGAAATTCCAGGACGTCAAAATAAGCCAACTGTATGTTCATAAATCTCCAGATATTAATAAATTGCTTATGTTTCTATAAAAAGTGCAATAGGAGGCTGTACGAGACACTATTTCACTAGACTTTAGCGTTTTAAGAGGTAAAACACATGGTCAAAGGAACTGGTTCTTAATCCATATTCAGAGCTGAAAGAAGAGTTTGTGTTACTTCCTCCTCTTCAAAATCAGTTTAAACTGTCAAAATAGCTTTAAATCGGAAGATTTCAACTTTGTCCCCAAGAAAACCCTCTAAAGAATCAGATTGAGTTGTTGCTGAAACATTTATGTCAAAAGGAAATTTTTAATTTGCAAGGAAAAACAAAAGTTTCTCTCTTCAGAGGTCTCTCCAGCAGCAGCACACGGGATTTATCGCCTCTCCTTTAACTCAAACCGCGTGTTTGCCGCTGGAAACTCTCCCGAACGCAAGTACCTGCTCTTCTCCTCCCTCACCGGGGAAATGGGGCGATTTGGTGACAGAAATTCCGAGGAAAATACACTTTTGTTAGTCCAAAGAAACACAAATCGAGCACACCGAAGGGCTCCCCGGCCGTGCAGCGGGGCGGGCTCTGCAACGCACCAATCACCGCGCGGCTCCGCTCTAAAAATACGAGCATCTGACCCGCGCCAGCCCAATTGTGTTCGCCTGCTCCGCAGAGGACGCCGCCGCGATGTCCGAGACCGCTCCCGCCGCCGCCCCCGATGCGCCCGCGCCCGGTGCCAAGGCCGCCGCCAAGAAGCCGAAAAAAGCGGCGGCCGGCTCCAAAGCCCGCAAGCCCGCGGGGCCCAGCGTCACCGAGCTCATCACCAAGGCCGTGTCCGCCTCCAAGGAGCGCAAGGGGCTCTCCCTCGCCGCGCTCAAGAAGGCGCTGGCTGCCGGCGGCTACGATGTGGAGAAGAACAACAGCCGCATCAAGCTGGGGCTCAAGAGCCTCGTCAGCAAAGGCACCCTGGTGCAGACCAAGGGCACCGGTGCCTCCGGCTCTTTCCGTCTCAACAAGAAGCCTGGAGAAGTGAAAGAAAAAGCTCCCAAGAAAAGGGTGCCCGCAGCTAAGCCCAAGAAGCCGGCGACCAAGAAGCCTGCCAGTGCCTCCAAGAAGCCCAAGAAAGCAGCGGCAGTGAAGAAGAGCCCCAAGAAGGCTAAAAAGCCGGCGGCCGCAGCGGCCAAGAAAGCGGCCAAGAGCCCCAAGAAAGCTGCAAAGCCAGGCCGCCCCAAGAAGGCAGCGAAGAGCCCGGCCAAGGCAAAAGCGGTGAAGCCCAAAGCAGCCAAGCCTAAGGCAGCCAAGCCCAAAGCGGCCAAGGCGAAGAAGGCGGCGCCGAAAAAGAAGTAAATTATAATACCAGAAGAGACCTGCTCTACGTATTTTGTTATCCAACGGCTCTTTTAAGAGCCACCCACACTTTCCTTAAAGGAGCTGAGGCACCAAGGTCGTCCATAACCTGCAGCAGGGATCCGGTAATTCGTAAGTCGTCAAGAGGTCAATTGGGTTTTTTTTTTTTTTTTTCTCCCTAGGATTACCGAAAGAAACGCTAACAAGCACGGTATAACGCGGCGGCTTTAGGGAAGTGTAGACTTTTTTTTTTTTCTCCGAGTAATTAGTTTGACTACCAGGAAGCAATGTTAAGCAATGTTTTGTAATGATTTGATAAAAAAAAGGATGTATGTTTTTTTAAAAGATGTATTTTGTAACAAAATAATGCAAATGCCAGGCACGCTACTACTGAGCCATGTCTAATCTATTGTATTATTTCTCTTAAGGTGTCTCCTTAAATGCTTTTGTCTTATCTGCGGGAGGAGGGGAGGGTTTCTTTATTGACACGAAAATAGCCCTGAGCTCTCCCAATCCTTTTGTTCCCGCTGAGAAAGAAAGCTTAAAGTATTGAAAAAGACCGCCCTGACCAAGGATTGGCCAGCGGAGAGCCCGGCCCGCTGCCCCCCCCCTTCCCCCTCCCTCCCCGAACATTACGCCTCTTATCTCTGGAACTGTATCAGCCACTCTCGGAGAAGAAAAAGGCGGAAGAGGGGGGAGGGATGGGAACTCTCAACGAATAGTGTTCCCATGTTCTCCGACATAAAAACTAAACGGAAAGTATCCCATACCAGGAAGAATTTGCATGGGGAGGACGTTTTGGCACGCCTTTGTTAACGAAAACTTGGAAAGCGTTGCTACTATCACCAAGCCAAAAATGCTGTTAATAAATATGGAAAAAGACAAAACACGGGTTGAGTGATTAATATAAATCGGCATGACTGTGATATGGATAACTAAGCTCTCTTATGATTTTGTGGGTGGCTCTGAAAAGAGCCTTTGGATTATTTTCTCCGGAAGAGACAACGTGTCGCTTTTCCTTTGTGTTTACTTGGCTTTGGCTTTGTGGCTGTCGGTCTTCTTGGGCAGCAGCACGGCCTGGATGTTGGGCAGCACGCCGCCCTGCGCGATCGTCACCTTGCCCAGCAGCTTGTTGAGCTCCTCGTCGTTGCGGATGGCGAGCTGCAGGTGACGGGGGATGATGCGCGTCTTCTTGTTGTCGCGGGCCGCGTTGCCCGCCAGCTCCAGGATCTCGGCCGTCAGGTACTCCAGCACGGCCGCCAGGTACACGGGAGCGCCGGCGCCCACCCGCTCCGCGTAGTTGCCCTTGCGCAGCAGCCGGTGCACGCGGCCCACGGGGAACTGCAGCCCGGCCCGCGACGAGCGCGACTTGGCCTTGGCCCGCGCCTTCCCGCCCTGCTTCCCGCGCCCGGACATCTTCCCTGGCTCGCTCACCGCTAAGAAGAACTCGCAGCAGGACAGAGTGGGCAGACGGCGCTCCCCGTCTACAGCCCCGCTTTAGTACCTCGTCCCTTCGCTGATAGGCTGAGAAGTAGGTCTCGTCTGGGCAGCCAATGACGAGGCGAATCGAATTCTGACCAATAAGACCAGGCTATTGGGGAATGATGAGGCCTTGTATTTTGCCCAATGAGAGTGAGCAAGGCCGATACTCTCATTTGCATAAGGGGGCTATAAATAGCTGGCACAAAGCCGGTCACCGTCAGTTCGCTTCTCGACTGGACGTGGGGCTGTTTTAGTGTTTTGTGGGAGACGCGCGTTCTCAACTATGCCTGAGCCGGCCAAGTCTGCGCCCGCGCCCAAGAAGGGTTCTAAGAAGGCGGTCACCAAGACGCAGAAGAAGGGCGACAAGAAGCGCAAGAAGAGCCGCAAGGAGAGCTACTCCATCTACGTGTACAAGGTGCTGAAGCAGGTGCACCCCGACACGGGCATCTCCTCCAAGGCCATGGGCATCATGAACTCCTTCGTCAACGACATCTTCGAGCGCATCGCCGGCGAGGCTTCGCGCCTGGCGCACTACAACAAGCGCTCCACCATCACGTCGCGGGAGATCCAGACGGCCGTGCGGCTGCTGCTGCCTGGCGAGCTGGCCAAGCACGCCGTCTCCGAGGGCACCAAGGCTGTCACCAAGTACACCAGCTCCAAGTAAATACCTGTTAGAAATACTGTATAACCCAAAGGCTCTTTTAAGAGCCACCCACCTTTTCAAGAAAAGAGCTGTACAGTCAACTAAGAAGACTTTAGTTACCTAGTGTGGAACCTTATCTTGCAGTTTTGGGGAGTTTGTGCATGCCACTTATGGCTAGTTCTGTTAACATACTGGTTTGTAGTTTAGTGTGTTATTGAACATAAACTAATTGGGCAATAAATCACTATAACTAGAGGCATTTTTAACTTTTCTCAAGGTGATACCACTTGTTAATTTATGGTTCTCTTGCAACTCTCAATATCGTGTTATATGTAAGCAATACCTCACTGATCTAAGGGTTCATGTTATATGTGTTGTAAATTAAAAGACTAAAATATTTCTGCCTTTTTTTAGCCAGGAAAATCAAAATTATTACAAATGGATTCTTATCAATGCACAGCATAGCTATTGTAAGATCTACCATTTGATGGCGCTCAGTCTTTGGGTTTTTTTGGTAGTTTTTTTTATCGTAGCAGAAGAGGACCACAGTGCACTGTACTATAAAAGTATTTATGTAGTAACAAGTGACATTTATCTTAAGATGTTACCAATAACCCAGTGATTAATACAATTCAGAAGTACTTTCTACAATCTTTGTCTTCAGCAGTTCTCTTAATTATTATACAGTTCATGTGAATTTTACAGTAACTTGCCTAGCTTCTCCCTATGACTCCTTGAGGTTCCCCTTGCAACTAAAAAAAATATGTGAAATTCAATACTTTTTATACATATTTGACATTTCCTGCATTTATATGTCATTAATTGTATTAAAACTATTAAATATTAAGAAACTAGGCACTGTTCAAGCTATCAATTTATCATATAGCTACTTGTCAGGCTCAAACTACAGGTTTTTAGAATCACTCCATCATATTCTTGGATAATTAAATGCTACCATAGATAGAGATCAAAGCCATTATCACTTTTCAGCCGGGTCTGAATAATCCTGAATTTCAAGTATATATTGTGGACTTCTGAAGATACTGAATTCATAGAGGGACTCACCCTTCCTAGTACTGACTGCATGTTTTTGGTAGTACAGGTAACGAGACAGGCACCAGGTCTCTCAAATCTGACATCTATTACCTAATCAAAGTTAATTTCAGCTTGAAGTTTTATGGGGACTTCTTAGATTGGATTTCAGATATCCAGTGGCAATTGGCATCCTCTGTACTCTATACTCTTCTTCAGCAGCTCGAAATGGCATTTTAGACATCTGCTCACCAAGTGCTTTACTGCAAACTCTGGAACACAGGTTGCATATTCTGGGCCTCTGTATATGTCCAATGCCTAGGAAGATAATTGAACCATAGTATATTCCAATCTCTAGGTTTTTATAAGGGTACCTGGCTCACTAGAAAAGGACTCTAGAAAAGGATTATGTCATATGAGCACATAAATATGTTCATATTTAACATGATGATAATCACCAGGAGAATTTTACACTGGCTATTATTCTCTATAATCAGTCATGTAAAAGCACCCTAGTTCAAAATACAGCTATCACAGGGCAGCCCTGTTGCCTGGGTTAAAATAGGAGCTTGGTGGTGCCTTTTGGACTCCCAGCTCATAAGCATTCATTCTGCCTTTCCTGTCTTTATGTGGTCCAGGTTGCACACTTCATTAACATAGCTGTCATAGAAATTTCAGGGATATTTTAATATATTGTTTCAGTATGGGAAATTGTTTCTAGGCCCATGAAACTTCACTCAAGAAAATTAAATGCTGCTATGATTGTTCCTTTCAATTTCAGTATCAATGATAAGGCAATATTAGGGGACTATAATGTGAACATAGCATTTGACATCAGATCTGATTGTAACACAACCCTTATTTTTCTAACAGTGCTGAGAAAAAGTCTCTGAACTGACAAAAAGCAACTACTGACAAAAAAGCATGGAAATTTTTTGTGCTTGTTCTTTTCACCACAGGTAAAAGTAGTAGGATTTGAGCTCAGCAAAAATAACAAATTCGATTTCATGCCTCAGGAGAATGTGAACTTTCAAACACTCAAAACATTCAAACCCAATAATGCAAATAGTCTGAATATACATATATTCACACATATATAGGGTATGAATATGAAATCACGTGGCTGCTTATTTTTCCGTCATTCATGTTCTTTGTTGTTCTTTCCTATTTAGTTCAAAGCAGTGCTGTTTGTATTCTTAATTCCGCTCTACGGAGATGACATCAACAGCAACAGTAAGATGACAGTGTTCAAATATATTGTCCTGGTATAGCAGGAATTATGCTGCTTCCACTTAGACCATGTAGGAACTATGTACATGCCACCTCTAAATGGCTCCTGCCCTAGGTTCCTGATTGAAGATGAGCTTCCAATCCACTGAGTAAATGTCATTTATTTCTCCAACATGCAGAGCAACTAGAGCTGAGTGTCTTCAAAGAGGAAACCTCTGCACCAGATTGCAAATTATACCTGTACCACTTATCACCTGATCCCCAAATCCAATAATTTAATTCTTGTTGGTGTTCCCTTGATTTCCTACTGATTTTCTTGGTCACTGGGCTGGCCATCTTCTGAAGTTTTTTCATTCTCTTCAGGTTATTTCCATGATCTTTCTTCATTCTGCTTCTATCTTGCCAATTTCAGCTTGTTCTGTATTTGTGGCATTAATTTTATCAAAAAGTTTAGGCTCTTATCAGTTCTTGTACCCTAAGGCTTCAACTTGTTGAGCTTCCAGTGATAAGCAAGGCTATTAATCCTAACAATTCTCAACACTGGGATGTGCTAGAATGCATAATCTTTAAACAGGCCCTTCATGTTGTATTTTTATCTATCCTCCATGTCTGCCTTCAAAATACCTCTTGATTCACATTAACTGAAATATAGGGTATATCTGCATTTGGTTATGCAAAAATTTTTGTCAAAATACTTTTGTTATACCATCAGTTTTTTGTATCTTGTATTACCAGAGTTACGTTACGGTTTAGTACTGTAGTGAATAACCAGCAATAAATAGTACTGAAGAACAATACAACCAGTACAAAATTTCTCGTGTCTTATTTTTATTAGAGTAATAAAATTAGTAGCATTCCTGGAAAATTCTCTAGATCACCATACCTACAGTAAAATTTATTTATATCATTGTCATGTTTAAAAAAGAAAACTAACAACCTCTGCTTTTATTTCTACAAAAGTGAAATACATAAAATTTAAAATATAAAATTTAAAAAATATATAAAATTTTTAAAAATAACTGCATTCTCTAGTTAACTCACTGAATAGTGAATCAGAAATTAGAAATAAGTGTCATACACCTGATCCAAAACCTGACCAAATCACACACTGTCTGTAGCAATTTTCTACTACTTCACAGTTTTGGTTGTGGTTTTTTGAGTATTTTTTTTGTTCTTGTTTCTTTTGTTTTTATTAATGGAGTAAATCAATATCTGCTCACCTGCTTATGAAATCAAATTCTTTTTCCAAATGGCCACAGATTGTAACTATTCAACACACAGGGCAAATTATTGCAATGTTACTATCACAGAGACTTTCTTTTCCAGTTTTAGTAAAAAAGAATATATTTTAAAATAATTAGCATTTTTGGAGAAAATATTGACTGCAGCTTGGGAAAAATATTTGGTTTTAGACACACCCATATATAATGTTTTTGGACAGTAATGAAAATGTGCCCAGTTAAAATTGTAAATGAAAAAAAATTGAGACTTTGGGTTCCAAAACCTGGTGTCAGGGTTAAGCCATTCAGAGCACAGCACAGCTCAAGATAGGACACAAATCTCATTGGAGAAGAGGACTGAAACTAGAGGGGAACATAGCTGGGAACTTCTCCCTTCCCATCTTATACAAGAAAGGAAGAAACATTACAATGAGCAGGAACAGCTCTTTCCTCAAAGATTGGGGTCACAGAACAAGAAGCTTATGTAGGTAGAAAGGCATTTTAGGCTTTGAGTTAAGTTTCTTTCATGGCTACAAAGAACTAAATTATTTGACAACAGCCCTGATGGAGTGGTTGTTCCAAAAGCATTTCTTGTCAAAAATTATAATACATATTAATCACAAAGGTTCGTCCTTTCATTTTTAACACTGAAAAGCTCAGGAAGCAATTCTGGACATACTTGCATTTCAAAACCAGAAAATAAGTTGCTTGTGTGTAAAAGGAATAACAGAATAGCTTGAAATTTTAATCACTAATAAAATCCACAATCTTTTTGTATTTGTAGTTCTACTTGTATTTTCATGTAGATGTTTTACTTGCAAAGGTTACAAGAAAGCAGAAGAAACAATTCCTGAAATAAGAAGAGAGCACACAAGGAGAGTTACATCTGAAACTTGGACTTCAGACAGAGGAAAGGATATTGATCTACCTTTGTGCAACATCAGATCTGTGAAGAAATGGACGCACCTCCTGTAAGCCTCCCTTTTCTTTTTGTAGCAGGTAGCAGCCACTACAACGTTAAACAATACGAACACTTGACAAGATCAAGTTTTTATTTTTGCGTTATGCACTTGGGACACAGCAAGGTTAGTGTCTTTAATTATCCTGCTAGGAAAAGAGGACAAGAATTACCATAGAAATGACATAGCCCCAATCTTTCTACACATAGAAATGTCTTTAAACAGAGCGGCCTCCACCTGCGCTCCAAGCACCAGCAGACCAGACTGACTGCATCACAGGCAAACCCGTGTGCTTGGACTCAGCTGAGCTGGCTCAGGAAGCCAAATTTACCTGAATCAGTTCCACTCTCTGTATGTGGGGACTTTTGAATACCTTCCATAGGTACAAATCCTATGAAAGAAGTGAAATGGTCACATGGATGTAAAGCATATTTAGCTGCTGGAGTTTTAGCCTTAGCCGATACTTAAATGTCAGGCAAAACCTCATGGGATGTGTATGTGTCATAATTCAGACTTATCATTGCAGCTTCTAATTGTGCATTTATTGACAGGTTAAAAATAAAACAATGACGATTTCTAAAATGTTGATAAAGGCAATCAGGGCAATTAACACTTCTAACAGAATTAAGTCACCTACTCTTTTTGTTTTCATTTTTGCAGTATTTTCCACCTGA